AACCTTATGGGAAAATTTGATTTGGGTCGCGACCAATTTGGGTCGCAACCAGAGTCGCAGAACGCATTAAGTTCGTGAACCGAGGTATCACTGTACATTGTATTCATATTCATATTCCAATGTTGGAAGAAATATCCTATCCTTTTAGAGTAGTCTTTTTTAAACTAATTCTATAGATATGTTGAAGTTCCAAATTCCTGCACAGTATGATCTGGGAATCCTTCAGAACTACATTCTCAACATACCGGGGAGCATACAAGCTTGGGCAAAACTGTTTTGCAAGTAGAACTAGATCTATAACTGTCATCCTAAAGATGGATGGAGACTGATCATGGAGCAGTGTTATAAATCATAATGAAGGTATGCTACTAAGTTCATAAAGAATATGTTTTTCTTGTTCCCATTTAAATGCAGTTAGATCTAGATAGACAGAGATACTATCCATTCAACTGAATTAACTGAAATGTATGGAAACAAAGTATTTACCCAGAATATATACCAATCAATATATCCATCAATCAATGTATTAAAATCTCTCATATCTATTTTGTCAGACTGAGACTTGTTGAGAAATTGCAATTAATAAATCATGAAGGATTGAACATCAATAGATACATGTTCCCCAAACTCTTTTTCCCTTTTATAGTAATCAACACTTATACAGGGAAACTATTCAGTATAACGTTGTACCGATTCTATAGTTTTTCTGCCATAACTCTGGAAATGAAGAAGCGGAAGGGAAATTCCTTCACTACTTTAATCTCAGATAGAATGTCAGTATTAATTTACCTTAGAGGTACTTTCTGAGTGTAGATTATCTCAATAAGTTTCATGAAACCAGCTGCTTCTTCCTGGAGAGGGTCAATAAAGAGGACCTAACAAGAGAAGAAAATTTTATACATCCATGGTTTATATTCTCTTTATAGCTTCTATTTCCTCTACTACTGTAGATTGAAAGCCCCAAGGAAGCAATCAAGGATAAACTGGGAACTTCAGCTGGTGCAGACTGTCCTGGTTCATGTGCTCACTAGGACCAGATAGTTAGAACCCATTATGTTGCCCACTGCCCTACTTACTTGTGTCTCTGGGGCCAATACAAATTGCAATTTGGACCTTTAGAAACATAAATGGTTTGGAACAGATTAGTTGAAAAACTGCCTAACCTTAATACGTATTATGCTTTAAGATCTGGATTGAAGAATCTGCTCACATTCTCACTTTTAACATCCATCCCCCTACTAGACATAAGACAGGAGCTTATCAATAATGATAGCTACAACTCCAGGGAATATGTGATTGGCCCTCCCACTGTGGTATTTACAGAAATTTTGAAAATCCGCTGTGTCAGAGAGTTTTTAATTTATAGATTTTGTTTCCCTTCATTTTAATCTATTGTCTTTTCTATAGTATGTTATTCTAATACTATTTCTTTATGTTTGAGCTTTGCCCCATGACTTAGATGGACTTTGGTCCTGAGGTGGCTTACAATCAATTAAACAGATAAATGATTCTGAAGTGACAAACCTATGCCTAATTACTAATCAAGTTACAATGGTAGGCTCCATGATTGAATCTTCCAAGAGTTTTCTCCATGGAAAAGCTTGATGTCAGAGAGAGAAGTCCTCACCTATCCAGGCCACTGACACACTTGTATTCAAGGTAGATAAGAGCTTCTTGAAAAGAAGTAAATTCCCTTTATGGGTATTGTCATGTGCAGATACAAATTTACCACTTCAGGAAGAACTGGTTCAAATGTTATTAATATTTTAGACAACAACTTTTGTCCTCAATGCAACACAAATACAAAAAACTGGGCTTGAACTGAAATTTTAAATTTTAAAAGCTTGAGATGAATCTTTAGAGTTGTATTTGCTCAGTTAATCATGAAAATCAAACCAGGGACCCCACTTGGCATGCTACCACATGCTGGTTCTCTCAAATGAATACTGGTAGAATAACTTTTAGTGAAAATGGTACTTGAATATAAGTTTATAACACTAAATTAAATAAATGATATGCCACCTAAGATACCTTAGTTTTAATATAGTCATTAGATTTGCTTGTATCGCAGAAGTGGACTTCTTGTGTTCCACTCTCTAAAAAAGCAGCTTGCTCAGAGACCTTGGTAGTCAATGGCATGCAAAGTCAAATACACATTCCAATCAGATGTAAAGGCAAAGTTCACACAATATGTTTGTTTACTGTTCACTGCCACTTATAAACAGTTTAGCATGCTGTGTGCATCTCGCAAATTGTCATTTATACCATAAATCATGGTGCAACAACCATTGCTAAATGCAATAGGAAAATGTCAAGGTATGCCTGTGCTCATGTTCATATCATGAGTACACTGCTGGGTATACTTTTCAATCAATTCAGTGATGTGCTCATAACTGTAATATATGGATAAGTGAACTGCTGTATAAAGTGTGCTAAGAATGGGCTTTCTGTGTTTTTTGTATACAAAGGTGTAATGTCTAATATAACCCTATTTAAAGTACAGTAGAGTCTCGCTTATCCGACATAAACGGGCCAGCAGAACATTGGATAAGCGAAAATGTTGGATAACACACAGTAACGATTGAGTGCGATAAAAAAAAAAAAAAAACCAATCCGCTGCGCCTGTTGCAATCGATTTTTGCATTGCGGCGCCGCACTGTCGGGAGCAACAAGAAAGAGTACACTCACGCTCGCAAACAAGTGGCACACTTTTCTCATCGCCGATTTGTGTGTGTTGTGTTTTTTTTAGGGGCGTCGGATAAGACAGAATGTCGGATAAGTGAAGATCAGTTAAACGAGACTCTACTGTATTTAAAAGAATGCATAAATTATTTTCCCAATAACTCACTCCGTAGATACCCACATTCCACACTTACCATATTATATAAATTCCGTCTAATCTGTCGCATCATTCCTGCGTAGGCTGGCTTGAGAAGTTCCTGAAAACTTGAAGGCCACTTGTTATACATAGGATCCGTTTCTATGTTATTGACCCACTAGAAAAATACAACAGTAATGGGACATTTAGTGAAGCTATGATCAGAATTAAACCTTGTCAAACACAATGTTCTTAGAAGTTCCATTTTAATAAAGTAATACTCAACATGTTATAGTTTTAAATTATTATGGGCTTTACTGTTGACCTAGGCACATGGAAGCCACTTAAGAAACTAATTCTATGGCTATAGTTGGGAGCATATTTAAGGGACAATTATGTAGGGAAAAACAAGCTGAAAGTATCTTTCTGACCACAGTTTTAGAGATGCCAACAACAATGGAAAAAGAGCTGGATCATTGGGCTGCAATTCCATGAGCATTTACGGGGGAGTCCCTGCTACTAAGTGCTGAGTACCTATGCAGTGTGATAATTAACTTTTTTCCTGTCATGTGAGAGCTGTTCACCTCAGCTTCCACGTGATTCTGGTAATTTTTATTGAGTCTATTACTTAGGCTGTCTTTACACTTGCCTCATAAGTAGTTTATTTATTTTGGCTTGGTGTCTTGTATGTATCTAGACACTGGGGGTTTATAAACCATAGTTTATAGTTTAGCATGTTGTATAACTCCAGTCAAAATTATTGTAATCTATTCAATAAAGATGTTTAAAGTTAGAACGTGTTTCTTTAACACCTATCAGCAAGAAGGCAATAGTTAAAGAATAAAAACATGTCCCTCGGGTGATATAAATCAATCCTTAATGGTACTTCCAGAAGGGTAGCCCCAAACAGGGCACTCTGAGGACAGTGGGGAGTCAGCCTTGCATCCAGAAATATTTTGGTTTCCCTGAATGATCCCAGAAAGGAATCCCTCCCTATGCCAATTTATATTCTACATGCTAGTATAGGTATTGCCAACTGAAACTAACAGGGAGGAAAAGAAGTGTTTTTAAAAATAACTAAATAAAGAAAAAAAAAGCTACTTTCTCCTCAATTTCTGACAAGCAGCACAAGCCTCCAGGGCTATGGAAATGGTAGAAGACCATTTTACTTCTTAGGATTGCTCTGCAAAAAGTCCAAATTTTCAAAATCAAATAAGGCTGTTGCGAGAGGGATGGTTGCATTTATTCATTGCAACTGAACCAAAGAATCTTGTGACACCCTAAAGATTCATATGCACAAAAATATTACTTACCACAATTGAGGAGTGACGAATGTCTAATGCATAAGATGCATCCTGAGCCTGGGCAGCTAATCTCATGAATTTACTTGGAAGATCTCCCTTAATTCCAAGGGAGTGAAGAATATGCATTACTTTCCCTTCTGTCTTCAGAGTTTCTAAAATGCTTTAGACAAAGACATTTTATGTAGAATACTGTATGGAATAATCCAAAGAATAAAAGCCAAACAAGGAAAAATCAGTGAAAGACATTCCTGGCACATATAGTACTGTATTCCCATCACGTTTTGTTTATAAGGTATTTATAGTGCAATTGTGCTTCTGCTGGTGAAGCCTCTAACTGTGACTATGGTGGTAATGTTGGCGGTTGCTCAGGGAACTGTGAAGAATGATTGAACACAGGAGGGTAAAGAGGACCTCTGGATAAAGAGACCCAAGGCAAAGGGTGTTCAGAGGTAAGGACGCTATGAACAAAGCACGCAGAAATGGGTTGTTTGAAGATGGGAAGATACAGAAGTGCAGACTGAGGGTTGAGGGAAAAATAAAAGGAGACAAGAAAATTTGCATGAGCAGAAGGAAAGTCCCGTCACCGAAGATCAAGAGATACCAACTTGTGTAGTGGGAGAGTGTTATAGTGGATTCCTATTCTGAGAAAGAACAGAACTCACTGAGCCAGATTTTGAGGCTAGCCTAGAAGACCCAAGACCTTCCAAGAAGGTTTTACCATATCCTTGCATCTCCTGAAACATGAAGGACCTTCAAGGTGTGAGAGTCCCATATTTCATGCAGAGAGGATCTGATCCACCACTTGATCCTAAGTGACACTTCTAGAGAATAAACTCAAACAGAAATGAGTTCACATCCACAAGTCAAAAGCAAAGGTCTCCTTGGAAAGAAAAGAGCAACTTGAGAATAATAATTCTCGTTGTCAGAAGGACTCTCCAGCAACACTGAGTCAGGCTCTCCTGTTCAGGCTTGTTAGTTGAAATAATGTCTGAAAACAGCTCTCAGGCAAACAGCTCTCTCTTCCAATACCTCTTCTCCTTGACCCTGCTTATTCCTCAATGAGTTATTGAATGGGTTCACACATGGCATTAAGCCATAAGGTAGTTCATTTAGTTTTAAGTGTTATGTGGACCCAGGCAATTCAATAAATCATGGTTAATCATGCTGAACACCCTCTGACATCACTAGGTATTGGGTTCATCTGATCCTGATACACTTTGCAAGCCAGAACACAGAAGACTCTGAACAAAGCTGGACAGTGAACACTATAAGGGACATTGGTCAGAAAAATTTGGTTTATTGAACACAAACAAGCCTGAGGTTTGGATTCTCCTTCTCTTTTTCCCACATCAGTAAAGGATTTTTTAAAATATATATTCTTGTCACAGGTTCATGGATGGTATAGACCCAGGCAGGGTGGCAGCCAACCCCCACTGGGAACATTTTGTTACAGTAATAAACTGATGTAAAAGGAACATGACTGCACATATAGTAGCTTACCTGACTTATCTTTTCTCTACGTTTGTCATGTATTTTCATGCACTATCCTCTATTAGCTTTCTTGAATCCTGACACTATAAACTGCACTCCATCATTGTAGTCGTTAAGTGATCTCCTGGGTTGTTAAGCAGACAGAGCAAAAGAGCTACCTGCTGAAGGATTTCAGCTTCATGGAGCTGAAATCCTCCCGGCAGGCAGCTCTTTGAGAACAAAAGGGCTGCCTGCCAGACAGTTTCAGTTCCGAGCTCAAATCCTCACAGCAGGCAGCCCTTTCGCTCTCAAACATTCCTGCAGCCTGCAAAAGGGTTTCCCCTCCCCTCCATGCATGGAAGGGAAATCCTTTGTGGGGCTCCAGGAACAGAGCTGAAATCTTCAGGATTTGAGCTCTGTTCCTGCAGCCCACAGAAGGATTTCAGCTCCTCTCCGTCCTCTCCACTTGCAACCTTCCCTGCTGGCTTCCCTGTTGACTTTCTGGGGAAGCCAGCAGAGAAGGTTGCAAATGGCATTCACATGATTGCAAGGTGCTTGGCAACTGGTTGTAAATGCAAGGCAGTTCCCGATCGCCTGAAATGCAGTCATGTGACCAGGGGGGTGCGACGTTTTACGATGGCCAGAAGTGCTTTACGGACCATAAAGCACCCTTTCTGAGGTCATTGTAACTTTGAACAGTCGTTAAATGACCAGTCATAACTCAAGGACTACCTGTAGTTATGCTTTTCTAATACTTTCTCCCTGTATCTACTAGATATATTATTCTTATAATTCCTTAGATTTCTATGGCATCCATAATGCTTTTACTCTCCTTTCCCCACAAAATCACTTGTGCATCAATTTCTGGCAAGCATTGACGATCTGCTGCTGATCCCACTTGCTAGAGCCTGGTCCAGAACTACAAATGGAAGGGGGGTGGTGTCAGTGATATTCAGTCTCCCAACTTTTTTTTTTCCTTGCCCCAAAAACATGGTCCTTGTCATCTTCTTTAGGAAGGGGCCACTGCTGGGATACCATCCTCCCTCTGGCTTCCACACTTTTTTTGGAGACCCTCCAGGAGATTCTCTCTGGGCGCCAACCCTTCTGCCTCTGTCTCTTCCATCTGCTGGCTGCTGCCCTGCTTCAGCTGTATCCCTCCCCATCTGCTGGTGCCTGATTACTAGCCAGGTGGGATCTTAACAAGGCACTGTAAAGAATAAAATAACAATCACAGAGGAAAAAGTAATGATAGAAGTAGGCCTGGGAGAATAAAATGTTTTTGCTTGATGCTGAAAAGACTATGCTAGGTGCACCTCCCTGGGAAGGGATTCCAAAGTAAGGAAGATCACGACTGGAAAGGCCGCTCCTGGGTAGCAATCCACCATAATTCAGAATGGGAGAGCCTCCACAGAAAATCTTAGGGTACAGGTATATATGGGAAGAAGTATTCCTTCACTTAGGTTTGGTGCTGCAGCGCTACAAAAGCATGGTCGGGCGGGGGAAGGTTGCAAAGGGTGACCATGTGACTGCAGGGATGCTACGATGGCTGGTACTTTGAGGACTAGTTGTAACTACCACTCTTCAGTGTCATTGCAACTTTGAATGGTCACTGAATGAGTGGTCGTTAACCAAGGACTACCTGTATAGCAACTTTAAAGAGACAAAAAGGACCTCTAACTAGTACAGCTTTCCCAATATTGTATCTTCCAAGTTTGCTGGGACTATAATTCCGATTCAGCAAGACCAAATTTGGGGAGTTGGACATCCTAAGCATATCTAGAGGTCACCAGAAGGAAGTGGGATTTACTAATGTACAGATCTATTGGAGATGGTCAGGAGTTTCATGTACTGGATGCCATTTCTTTGGTTGCAGGACTGTCTCATCTTACACTTACTGATTTGAACAATTACTGTTTTAGAGACTAAAGGGGGTGATGTAATAAATTAGTTAAGAGCATTCACCAATAATTTGTTGGTTCCCTTTCTGAATACTTATCCCAGAATGAGACATTAACATTCCTCTTAACCCTAACCCTAACCCTCTTGGAATATTAAGGAGTTAAGTACAGATGTCTGGGTGTTTGGGATGGTAAGCAAGCTGCAGAATACTTTACCTAAATGGATCACGAAGATCCAAGTCTATTGGAAGGCCATTTAAAAATAAACGTGCTTCACCAGGCTGAAGTTCAAGAGATTCACGCAGATGCTGGAAAGGAAAGGAAAGGTTTATCATAACTTAGCTAACCATTTTTTAAAAACAAACAAACAAGCAAACCTTTGGCGTGTCAACATATTTCAAATGAGAGCAAGTCTGTATTAATTTGAGTTGAATAAATTTTAACACCCTACTTATTTTTCAAGATAAGGAGTTTCTCCTAATTTCTGGAAAATAAATCTGATGCTAACTATTCCTTAAAAATATTTTTAAAAGGTTGAATGATATTTACAGATTCATAGTTCCCACCAGACAGGCTTTAAACTGGTTTGACAAATTATAGCCCACAAATCCATGTTTGGTATTTGTTGTGAAATGCATCCTAATTATCTGAGCAAAGTAGGGCAGCTCCTACCTCTTTCTTAAATCCAAAACTTTTAAAAGTCTTGCTGCAATTCCTGATTTCATCTATCCCAACCTTCTCCAACCCAAAGTCTTCTAGATGTATTTGGTTACAACTCCAAGCATTTGCAGCCAGCACATACAGTACTCGGGGGCAGCAGGTAAGAAAGGTTGACTGTGCCCCTATTCTATCCCACCCGGATTCAGTCTGTAGGTCACTCCATCTTACTGTATGGCAAGATCAGCCCTGGACAACCATGATATTGTTCTACTTTCTCATATTAAATAAAATTTGTTACATGGCATATTATGAAATATTCTCAGTTTTGAATTTTTCTTAAAAAATGCTTTAGTCAGAAGAAATGTATTTGTTACAGTAACAAGTAATTATGACAGTGTCAATTCTGTATAAAGCTGTATGCGAATGATCTGTATTGTGAAAGATAGGATATAAGTAATTATAATACATGGGCAGAAAAAGATAGCTGGGCTTTCACATTATATTTCCTTCCACATTATCCAACTATCAGCTTTTTTCCATTATCAAGCTATAGTGCTCTCCACCCAAGCCTCCCCTAAGCTCATGACCCTCTGCTAATAGTTATGCTGGTTGGAGATCAGAACTAAACTAGAGGAAATTACTTTAGGTCCTTAGCAATGGTATATTTTGTTCTAACGGATGCTGGCTTTATAACTGTTAGATTCTCGGCATGCTGTGCAGAAAGCTGGGGTATAAATTTGAAATGTTCTATATTATAGTACTAATGTATTGAATCTGATCATGGGATTTTGGTTTTAGATCCCTGTTCAGATTTATATATAGTGACTGCCCAGAGTACATCCTTTTTTTCCACCATCTATTCTCCATCGCTAAAACTAGAGTACACTCTACTCCACCAAGTATAGCTATGGTAAAATATTGGAGAAATAATCTAATGAGGCTACCCCTTCATATCATCAAGTGTAAAAGCTAAACAATACTGCAGCTACACAGTAATTTGTTTAAATCAGGCTATCCAACAAGCCCAGCATAAAAATAAAAGAAAGCCTTCTTTAGCTAGGCTATAATCTGAAATATTATTTTAGTCTGAACATTTACAATCGTTCATATCACAGCTATTTACTCTTGAATTTTATTCTGACAGCATCTAATCACTATATACTTTAAATCCTTAATAGCTTTTAAGCTCTTTCCCATTCTGCATTTTCTATTCTACTTTCATTAACTTAGAGGAAAATCTTTTTGCACAGCTCTGCACAGTTGGAATCAGGCCTCTCCTGCTGCGTGGCTCAAAAATGTGTGTGACAATTTATTCTGAGGAACCACTGATATCTGAATAGCTGTTTACTTTACATTCAGACAAGAGAGAGAGAGAGAGAAAAGGAAAGGAAATTACTTTTTTACCACTATGTTCACATCTAACAATGTTGCTGAATGTAACTAGGTTTTATTTATTTATTTAATTGTGCCTTCAAGTCAGTTTTTGACTCCTGGCCACTGCCTGGACAAGTCCCTGCAGTTTTCTTGACAAGATTTTTCAGAAGTGGTTTGCCACTGCCTGCTTCCTAGGGCTGAGAGAGAGGGACTGGCCCAAGGTCGCCCAGCTGGCTTTTTGCCTAAGGCAGGACTAGAACTCATGGACTCCCAGTTTCTAGCCCACTGCCTTAACCACTACAACAAACTGGCTTTCCACAGGTTTAAATTTACACTTAGATTTATCCTAAAGGTCATTATCTATATTGACAGTATTTACATTTCATTTTAGTACTTCTGTTCAAACTACATAAAGTTTTTAATCCCATCAGGTGGCAGGTTCAAAAGAGGGAATTCAAATGTAAAAAATACTTATTTTTACATATCCATTTGTTGTTTTGATGAAATGTGTGAAACAATGTAGATGTTAATAGTTGAGAGAAGACTAGGTAAAACAGCTTTTCAAGAAAGGCCTCACATCAAAATGCATTCACAATTATTTTAGGAACTATTTAACTACTGTTACTGGAAGATTTTCAATACATTTATACAACTGCTATAGTCTAATAAAAATGAGTGAGTTGTAGCAAGTTTTACAAAAATACTTCAAACCTTAAAGTATGAATTTGCTTTAAAGAACCCTATTATGATTCAATCAACAGTAAAGGAACAAGCAGTCAAGAAATATGTCACAGACTAGCATTCAGTATAACAGCTATGAAGGCCTTGGAAAAGATATTCGAATGCCATTATGTGTCTATACCTACAAGCATCAGAATCATGCAAGCCATGGCATTCTCTGTGACACTCTGTGGAAGCAAAAGTTGGACTTTAAAGAAGCAGGATAGGAAGAATATTGATGCTTTTGAACTTTGGTGTTGGAGAAAACTCCTGAGAATATTGTGGACATCCAAGAAAACAAACTGATGGATAATTGAACAAATCAACCCAGAGTTCTTACTCAAGGCACAAATGACCAGGCTGAAATTTATCCTACTCTGAACACATTGTGTGAAGACCCAGCTCTCTGGAAAATGTGGTCACTAGGAGTTGAAAAAGACTTGATGGTGCATAATCAATCAATCAATCAATCATGTATTTAATTTAGATCAACCACCTAAGTATCAGGAAGTGAAAAGGCATGTGTAGAAGATTGTGGCATGTGCAGCTTGAGATTTGTGCCTGCTTATTTTACAATAATAGATGAGATTCAAGGGAAAGGGTCAAAGAAACATGATCATCTAGCTGGATTTGACAGGAGGCAAAAAGCAGCTGCTTCAACCAGCTGATTTTGAGCATCACAAAGGACAGAAAGCAGTGAGCTACAATATCTCCAGGCTGGAGACAGCTGTATCAAAACAGGTAAGGAATTTCTAGAACAGATATATGGATAAGGAGCTATGGCTGAATACCAACATTATATGCCTGGACCCACAGGTACCAAAGATTTAAATAAACAAACATGATTGACAGGGAAAAACCAAAATGGAGACCAAATATTTTATCTCCTAGGTTAGCTTTTCTAAACCTAGTGCCCTTCAAATATATTGAATTATAAATCTCATCATCTCCAAACAATGCATGTTCTGGCTTCCAATAATAGTATTGCAGGAGATTTGGAGAATGCTATGTTGAAGAAGGCTACCCAAAATATTGAGATCATATAAGAAAAGGAAACAGCTACCACAAATATCAGAATATTCTTTAAATGTATTCATAAAGATACACTGATGAGAGGTAGTGGCCAATACCACTGAAACGTACAGTATTAAAAAAACAGAAAACTCAGAAGAACTATTCATTAGAGCCAAAGCTTCTTACATCTTCAAAAAAGACCAGTGCATAAATTCCCCAGTAGGAACAAAATGGTATGTGTTGAACTGATTTATGTTCAGCTTCAGAGGTCAATTAAAGCTGCTCAGTTCAGAACCAAAGCTCAACCCCTGAAGGCATCACTGGAACATTAACGGCCTGATCTTTCACACTCTCTTTAGGGGGAACTGTAGTTGTCCAGCAGCTTGGCAAATAAAGATATACAGTGTATTGTCGAAGGCTTTCACGGCCGGCATACGATGGCTGGTGTGGGTCTTCCG